GTCTGGAGGGCATCAGAATGAGAGATCTGTACCATCTGTAGAATGGGGACTTTAAGATAGTCATCCCTGGGTCCTCATGGGGATTAAAGGAGTGTTGACTGCCTCTGGCTACAAGCAGCAGAATTTGAATTTGTTCATTCAACCAACTTTGACCTGATCTGCTTTATACTGTGTGGGATGAGTTTTGCAAAGACCTTGTCACAACTTTTGTCTGAGGACCTATGGGAGGTCTCTGAGAGGTGGGAGGGTTAAACCCCCTACAGGAGCATCATCTGTTTCCATGGCTACACAAGGATGCAGAGTAACAATGCATCCTTAGCTTGGAAGATCCAGGCACTGGATGATGAGAGGCACCCTTGTGAAGCCAACTCCATTATCAGCCCGCTCTGCGTCTAAAATGTACCCTGATCTGATCACTTCCCAAGACATGTGATCATATTAAGCAAGAACAGCTCTAACCCAGCACTAAGACATTCCTGTCTTGGCTTTGGCAGGAGGGAATCTCTGGGTACTGCTAGAGCCAGAGGGAGCAACACGTGTAGGCATGGCAACGTCTGGAGAAAGAGACACTTCTTTCCATTTGTCACATTTTACTGAGGAGGGAAATCCTTCCGAGAAGCTCCTTATAGTCTTCCCCTTGGGGATCATTGGCTAAGATGGCAATCACGTGTTCTAACTGCAGGGGAGCCTGAGGAAGCAGTTTCTGCTTTTTCAACCCTTGGCTGGCTACACAACCAAGAAGGAAGAGATGGGAAAGCACAGTTGATGAGGCCGCAGGGACGTCTATCAAGGGGCCTGCACTGTGCTTGCCACATAGAGCTCGGTACACGCTCATGGCTTTCGCCTTTCATCTGCTCATCCCACCGTTACCAACCACCGTCTCATCCTGTTACCTTCGGTGATCCTCATTTCCATCCTAGAACTGGCCTCCCTCCTGAGACAAAAGATACAGCACGTCTGATCAGCTAGTGCACAACCCACGGGCGCATGGCTTTCTCCAGACCCAGGGAGGCCACTACGGAGGGCTACAAACACCCACAGGGGGTTGGCTTTCTCTCTCCCCTTGCGTGAAGCTAAGAACCAGAGGATGAAAGGGAAAGGGAAGGAAAAGGCGCTCGCTCATGTCCGACTCTCTGAGACCCCATGGACTATGCAGTCCCTGGAACTCTCCAGGCCAGAACACTGGAGTGGGTAGCCTTTCCCTCCTCCAAGGGATCTTCCCAACCCAGGGATCAAACCTGGGTCTCCTGCATTGCAGGCAGACTCTTTACCGACTGAGCCACCGGGGAAGCCCCAACTACAGAATAATGCCAGGTAACTTCACCTCAACAAAAACATTCACACCTCGCTGGTCTTTCAACATTCAGGCTATAGGCCCTCTTAGTGATGCAGATCCCCAGGGCAAGCTCGCCACCTGAATTCCCACCCGCCAAGGTGACTATGTGCTCATTATTGAAACCCCACAGAGCAGGAGTGAACCATTCTCCAGGGAGGTCATACCCTCCAATTAATAACAGATATGTCAAATCCCATTAGGGGCAACTCCAAGACACCTTTCAAAATGTTTTGTTTCAAGGAAATCAGTTCCCTTGGAATATAGCCTGAAACAAGCCAGCTTCAGGCTGAGAATTAAAACACTTGCTGTGTGTACTATTAAACAATACTTTTACAAGTTGCAAAAGATATAATCCCATTATAGAAAATGTAGAGGATAAGAGAAAAGACACATAAAAGCCTCGATAATTCTACCACGCAAATAAAACCAGTGTTGTCATTTTGGTGTAATACCTTCTCAACATTTTTCCTTTGCTTAAGTGCCTTTAAATAGTTATAAGCACAGCATAGATGCTAGTTTTATTGTAGTTTTTCAGCTTATGGTTAAGAAGTATTTACTGGGTGTGTTATGGCTCCTGGCTCAAGGTTAGATGATAAGGGTTCAGTGAGTACAAGACAAGCAATGAAAAGACACAGAGAGAAACACAAGTGAATGGAAGTGGGCAGCAGGGGTTATGGAGGTGCTCCAGGAAGGCTTCCTGGAGGAGGTGCCCTGTAATCTGAGGCCCAAAGATGCATAAGAATGAGCTCAATGAAGAGGAAATGGGAGGAGAGGTCTCTGCGAAGGAAGTGTTTTTCACAGCTTGGGTAAGACCCATCTGAGAGAATACATGGTGTTTGGAGGACATGATATGAGAGTAATTCAGAATGATGGGAGCTTGGACTCTGCTATATACTGAGTCCCCCCAAGTTTCATATGTTGAAGCGTCAACCCCGGAGTGTGAGTATATTTGGAGATAGGGCCTTTAAAAATAATTAAGGTTAAATGTAGTCATAAGAATGGGGCCCTAATCCAATAAATCTGGAAGAAAGAAAAAGAAGAAGAGATTGATTATAAAGAATTAACTTGCAAGGTCATGGAGGCTGATAAATCCAAAATCTGCAGAGGTGAAGTCCCAGTTCAAGTTCAAAGGCTGGAAGGGGCTGTGGAACCACGAGGAACATGCTCTCCATTTTGAAGACTGTCAGGAGGGAGAATTCTCTCCCACTTTGGAGGAAATCCTTCTTTTGGTCTAGTCAAGCCTTCAGCTGATTGGGCGAGACCCACCCACATTACAGAGTATAGCCTGCTTTACTCAATCCACTGCTTTAAATGTTAGTGTCCTCCAAAAAAAAAGTTCTCCCAGAATCACCGAATATAATGTTTCACCAACGACATGGGCATCTCCTGGCCCAGTCAAGTTGATACACACGAGGAACCGTCACAGGCTCTATGATGAGGATGACAAGGGGAGAGGCTGGGAAGTTTGTCAGGGGCCAGAGATCATAGCCCCGTTAGCTAAAATCAGGAGTTGGTGCTTGATTCTGAAGCCAAAAGAAAGTTATTGAATAACTTTAACCAGTGAACGTCACATTCAGTGTTATCCGATTTAAGAAAAAACACTGAGGCTGCAGTGTGGGAAACACTTTCAGGACCACCCTGTACAGTTGGGCAGGTTGGGTATGACACAACTCTCGTGAAAGCACTGCTTCCATTCCAGTCTGTGGGAGCAGCACCTGCTGGAGCTGTGCAGAGTACCACCTGAGCCATTGTCTATGGTGGTTCTGAACGCATGAGAGACTGGAGACAAATCAGGTAGGAGGGCACTGCAGCTCCGTGGGCCCACAGAGTCTTCAGATCTTGTATACGGTCGTGATTTGGTGGCTTTCTCCTTACTGATAAGCCATGATTTGCTTAACCTTTTCCCAGTGTTGTGTAAAAGTGTCATTTTGCCATAGTGATGTTAGACGTAAATAAGTTTCCTCTGTATCCTCCCATGTGACCCTATAGCACATTATCTCACTGAGATGCTTTCACGAGTGAAGGTGTAATAAATGACTGCAGTGAGAGAACAGGCATACTCTGTGGGTGTCCTGGGCACAGCAGGGTGGATGGCCACCTTCCTCCTCTGGATATCAAGTCGTTCCTCCAGGGAGTTTCATTTCTGAGAGAATCAGGAGCTAAATGCACAAAATGTACTTACCTACTGTCAGAAAACTTCAGTCTTTTTCTGTAGATTGAAACCCTGTAATTTTTGTGTTTCAGTAAAGCAAACTGTACTGTCTACATTTATTTATATTCCCTTCACATCTTCAGTAGCAAGAGATAGCTGAGAACATTTCGTTCTCCTCCCACCAAGTTGCTATGATTTCAAAAAGGCTTTTTGTTTTTGTTTTTGTCTTGAGGTGAGTGTCTTCTGAAGGTCTGAAGCAAGACTTCCAAGCCTAAGAGAGCAGAGGAGAAAGAATGACGACCATTTCTCTCTTGCACTTGGAGGAAGATAGGAGGAAGAAGTTGAACTATCAAAATGATGTCACTTCCATAATTATTTTTTTTAACTGGAGGTGGCAGAGGATGAGATGCTTTGATAGCATCACCAACTCAATGGACATGAATCTGAGAACTCTGGGAGATGGCGAAGGACAGGGGAGCCTGGCATGCTGCAGTCCATGGGGCTGCAGGGTCAGACATGACTTAGCAGCCAAACAGCAACAACAGCTGGGGATGACTTAAAGGCCCTCCTTCTAACATGCGGAGACTTGCTCTCCGTCTACCCCTCTGCCGCTGACTCCAGGAGAGTTATTGGAGGGAAGATTCAGGAGGCTTCAGTTGTGTGGCCGGTCTCATATCAATAAAAGATGCCGGGGGTTTCTTTGTAGATTTGAATGGACCACTTAAAGAAGCTCCGCTTGGCATAAAGGGAAGCTACCCCTGTAAGAATGTGTCAGAGGCTGCTAGAGCTCACCAACATTCTTTGTTGTTTGTTTTTTAACTATGTATTTATTTGTTTGGCTGTGCTGGGTCTTAGCTGCAGCACATGAGATCTTTTCAGTAGCGGCATGCGGAATCTTTAGTTGGCATCATAAGAACTCTTGGTCCCCTGCTGAACTAAGTGGGATCTGGTTCCCTGACCAGGGATCAAACCTGGGCCTCCTGCATCTCAAGCATGGAGTCTTACCCCTTGGACCAGCACAGAAGTCCCAACATGCAGGTTCTAAACTTCTTTCTGGGCGGCTGTGCTGTGCGTCCCACCCTCGGCTGTGCTGTGTGTCCCACCCTCGGCTGTGCTGTGTGTCCCACCCTCGGCTGTGCTGTGTATCCCACCCTCTCTTAGACTTGAATGTGGGCCTGTCACTGAATTCTGGTCGGTGCTATGTGAGCTGAAAGGATGACCACCGCTTTCAGGCAAGATCCAAAACACCCCATGGGCAACCCTTGCTCCCTTTCCCCATCTTCCTTCTGGAAAGGACTCTGAGATCCTAGATTGGGTGGAGCCGCAAGATGGGAGGAACCTGACTCCATGAATGACTGCTGGCAGCAGAGCACCCCTTCCTGGCCCAGGGCTGCCTCAGAGGGACAAACACACAGGTCCTTCACTCTGTGGATTAGCTCTGTCAGAGAGACCTGACAAGAACCCTGAGAGCAAAGAGACTCACGTGAATGAGTGTTTATTGACGACGTCTCCATGCACCCAATTTGCTACCTAACAGGAAAGAGCGGTTTTGTGGAGAAGACTTCAGTTGCAATGGCCTCCAACCCCGCCTGCTCCCTTAAGTGAGTGGCATGACCTTCCTCCAGACTAGAAGGGGTTTTTTGTTTGCTTGTTTTGTTAATGTAATTATTTGGCTGCGCCTGGTCTTAGTTTGGCACGTGGGATCTTTGATCTTCATTGCAAGTGAGCAGAGGCCCGTGAGACGCCACCCTGTGTCAGAGAGAGGAGGTGGAGAAACAGACTCGTCTCAGGAGTGGACGCGAGACAGGTCCCTTCCCCTGAACATACCAGAGAAGAGGGCCCCTCGATTTGGGTGGTGACCTTGAGGATCTTTTAGTTGTGGCTTGTGGAATTTAGCTCCCTGACCAGGGATTGGACCCAGGCTCCCTGCATTCGGACCTCAGAGTCTTAGCCACTGGATCACCAGGGAAGTCCCTAAAAGGGTTTTTATTCAGCAAAATTCTTGGTGAGCCACTTGTTGGTAGAAAGATTGTTCTTAGCATCAACCCCAAATACATGTGGGAAAGAGAACTAAAATGATTCTTCATAATTAAAAAAAAAAAACACAAATTGGGGGTTTGGGGAAAGCACTTAGGAAGACTGGATTGGGAGAGAAACAGCGCTGAGCAAGATGGCAGGGACCAGGCCAGGAGGGGCCTGGAGGTGGGGCTGCAGGCTGAAGGGGTCCCAGTCGGTTCAGAGGCTCAGTCGTGTCCGACTCTGCAACCCATGGACCGCAGCACATCAGGCTTCCTGGGCATCACCAACTCCCGGAGTTTACTCAAACTCATGTCCATTGAGTTGGTGATGCCATCCAGCCATCTCATCCTCTGTCGTCCCCTTCTCCTCCTGCCTCCAATCCCTCCCAGCATCAGGGTCTTTTCCAATGAGTGAGCTCTTCCCATCAGGTGGCCAAAGTATTGGAGTTTCAGCTTCAGCATCAGTCCTTCCAATGGATATTCAGGACTGATTTCCTTTAGAATGGGCTGGTTGGATCTCCTTGCAGTCCAAGGGACTCTCAAGGGTCTTCTCCAACACCACAGTTCAAAAGCATCAATTCTTCAGCGCTCAGCTTTCTTCACAGTCCAACTCTCACATCCATACATGACCACTGGAAAAACCATAGCCGTGACTAGACAGACCTTTGTTGGCAAAGTAATTTCTCTGCTTTTTAATATGCTATCTAGGTTGGTCATAACTTTCCTTCCTAGGAGTAAGCGTCTTTTAATTTCATGGCTGCAATCACCATCTGCAGTGATTTTGGAGCCCCCAAAAATAAAGTCAGCCACTGTTTCCACTGTTTCCCCATCTATTTGCCATGAAGTGATGGGACCAGATGCCATGATCTTAGTTTTCTGAACGCTGAGCTTTAAGCCAACTTTTTCACCCTCCTCTTTCACTTTCATCAAGAGGCTCTTTAGTTCTTCTTCATTTTCTGCCATAAGGGTGGTGTCATCTGCATATCTGAGGTTATTGATATTTTTCCCGGCAGTCTTGATTCCATTTTGTGCTTCCTCCAGCCCAGCGTTTCTCATGATGTACTCTGTATATAAGTTAAATAAGCAGGATGACAATATACAGCCTTGACATACTCCTTTTCCTATTTGGAACCAGTCTGTTGTTCTAACTGTTGCTTCCTGACCTGCATACAGATTTCTCAGGAGCAGGTCAGGTGGTCTGGTATTCCCATCTCTTTGAGAATTTTCCGCAGCGTGATGTGACCCACCCAGTCGAAGGGTTCTAATGGGCCACTTTTAAGGTGTCTGCTGTATCTGCTACAGTGAAAGCCCCTGAGCTTTTCCCCAGATGGTCAGTAAAGCAGCTGTTCGCTCAGGCCAGAGTCCGTGTGCCTTGGAGGAGATGGAGATGGGGTTCCAGCCGAGTGAGCAGAGGCCCGCAGTGAGACACCAGCCAAGGTTAGAGAGAAGAGGTGGAGACACGGACTCTTCCCAGGAGTGGACAGGAGACAAGCCCCTCCCCCTGAATATACCAGAGGAAGAGAGACTCGGGATGAGTGGTGACCTTGAGGTTCCATAAAGACAGCAAAATAGATTAGAAAGAAGGGTCAGGTTCTGCACTTGCTGCTTCCTGCTCAGGCAGGAAGCTCTGTTCTCTGCAGATCCAGTCTAAATAAGAGCGAATGCCAGCCTACCAGCTGGGGTTGTAAGGAGAGAGGGCCGTTGAAAGGCACGGTGCTGAGGAGAACTCCCAAGGCAGAGGTCCTTGCTGGCCAGGGGTCGGGCAGCTCCCCGAGTTTGGGAACTGTGTGTGCATTGCACGTTCAAGTGTTCCTGGGCCGGTGTCCTGCTTGAGAGACTTCTGGAAGGGAGGGAGGGAATCTTGGGGCTCAGGTTGTCTGGTTGTGTCACGAGAAGGTGGAGGGCACCATCCTGAATGAAATCAAATCTGGCCTTTCGATGCCCGGCCCTCCGCGCAGGCAGGGCATGACCCGGCCCAAGGTGATGACGCAGCGCGGGCAACGAGCCGACGGCCCGTCACCAGCCCGTCTGACTCACCGGCCACAGTGCCCTCTAGGTGACCCCCGAGTCCTCTCCCCGGCTGCCCCAGCTCTCTCCCTGGGCACTGGGCCAGCTCGAGAGGAAAATTCCTGTGATCTTCAGTTGAAGGAGATCATGACTCATAAAGAAAAAGGGCCCCTGAATTCAGTATTTTTCCTGTCCCATCTGAGACACTCGAGGTTCCCATAGCTCGCTGGCTGGTCTCGGCGCGCATCCATGACAGCCCCGCACAGAGCCCGGCTCTCCGAGCAGATACAGATTGTCTTCTCGTCTTCTCCCGCTGTTTCTTCTTCCTGCCACGGCTGTCACCGCTAGTCATCAATATCTGATACCCAATTCTGCCTAGGATGAGGCCAGCCTCCTCGCTGTCATGAATGTCTTGGTTAGTCCTCCTGCCCTTCTATCAGTAGACCTTGGCCCTGAGGAAAGCCAGATGCCCTCAGAAGGGTTGTGATGCCCAAGTGATGCCCAATGTGGTAACGAGTCTCTGGGAATGGAGCTCTGAAGGAGACAACCTTTGATGTTGAATATTCATTGGAAGGACTGATGCTGAAGCTGAAGCTCCAATACTTTGGCCACCTGATGCAATGAGCTGAGTCGGTGGAAAAGACCCTGATGCTGGGAAAGATTGAAGGTGGGAGGAGAAGGGGACGACAGAGGATGAGATGGCTGGATGGCATCACCGACTCGATGGACATGAGTTTGAGTACGCTCCGGGAGTTGGTGATGGACAGGGAGGCCTGGCATGCTGTGATTCATGCGGTCGCAAAGACTGAACAACAGAGCAACCCTTGTAATGAAGAATCTATTTTGTTTGTTAGCATCTCATCACTTGTTCTTCCATAACTTCTCCCTCATTCATCTTGTGTCAGCGTTCTCCCTGTCAGGGGCCACAGGGCCATCCGCCCAGGCCCAGAGCAATAGCAGCTGCTGCTTTAAGAAGTGGCTTGACAAAATTCTGTAAAGCAATTATCCTTCAATTAAAAAATGGGGTGGCAAAACAAACAAACAAAAATAAAACAAGTGGTTTCAAAGAGCAGTGGCTTTCTTTGCTGGCAGTTGAGCAAAGCTTCAGCTTTGCCTTGGCGGAGCCGCATGGCCTAGGGTCTTCTCCTCAGGATTGCATTTTCAGAGAAGCCAAGTGACTCAAACCCTCCGAGCCTTGCTTTCCTTATCTGTAAACGGGGTTCCAATCCGGTGCAGCTGTCATAAACTGAGATCAATCTGCCAACTGCACAGCCAGTGCCTGGTGCCAGCTGTGATGGGCAAATGCTGAGTTGATGCCGAAGTTCTACCAATGGTCGTGGTGGCTAATCCAGAGTTCATTAAACTCAAGCAGAGCTGATTCCCTGTCACCTGCAAGATGCTGGGCCAATGGACAAACCAGAGCGCTAAAGATAAGGAATATGTCAGCTGGATGGTCTAGAATGTTCAAGTCCCGGAGCATCTTTTCCACTGCACAGAGCCCTGCGAGTCTGCACTGGAGCAGGTGGACGTGCAAATCCAAGCAAAGAGCATCAGCCGGTGTTGAAGGGGAATGATGATAAGCCACTTTACATCCAAAGTCACCGTCTCCATCGTGGAGATAAAGGTGAGGGTGCTGACCGCCCAGCGCCGGACAGAATGACCAGGGCCCTTTCCTCATCATGCTCTGTCCTGGACTTTGTGGTGAGCCTGCCCTTCCGTGAGGGCCTGCTTCCTTCAGCCTGCCCAGCTCCCGTCTCCCTGTGGACTGGCATCCTGCTCCCATGACATGGGGTCCCCAGCCCACTCCCAGCCACCACCCCCCACTTGGACTGGTTGTTCCCAGACCTCATTGCACATTTTTAAAATGTGCAAGCTAGATTTTAAGCCATTGGTAACTTGCAATCAGTCATGGTACACATATTTACACTTTTGAAATTGGCAAATATTATAAATCAGGATTTTGTTTGCTTTTCAGAGAGTAGACTTACCAGAAGATCCCTGATAAAGATGATCTCCCTTCTAAATTCCAGGACAGCCAGTTGCCCAGTGGACATCTGCACATAGATGACCATGGACACCTCAAACTCAACAGCCTCCAAACTAAACTCAGTCTTTTTCCCATCAACACTGGCATCCTCTTATATTTTTTGTTTCTATCAATGGCACCAACAGAGGCCAGGTATCAGGGAATTCAGAATACAAAAGGGATGAGTCACGACGTTAGGCAGAGGGATAACTTCAGAGACAGGGAAGAGCTTCCTTCTCCGTACCCTGAGGCAGGAACGGCGGCGTGGGTGGGTGAAGAGTGAGTCCATAAGTCAGGGCAGAAGTTCCCTTTCTCAGCCATAAAGTAAAGGTAGAGATTTCACTCTAAGCCGAAGGGGTGAATAATGCTTTAGCAACCACTCAAATAGGAGCAGAGAGTATCTGAAAAGGATTCATTCTTTCTTTTAAAAAAAGAAAAATTTTTCAAAACTTATTTACTTAGCTGTGTGGGTCTTAGTTGCCCCCAACCAGGGATCGAACCCAGGTCCCCTGCGTTGGGATTCAGAGTCTCAGCCACTAAACCACCTAGGGAAGTCTCAAAAACAATTCATTCTTTCTTTCAGTAGCATCTAGCTGAATCTGTGTGTGTGAGTTGCTCAGTCGTGTCTGACTCTTTGAGACCCCACGGACTGTAGCTCTCCAGGCCCCTCTGTCCATGGGATTCTCCAGGCAAGAGTACTGGCGTGGGTTGCCACTCCCTTCACCAGGGGATCTTCCCGACCCAGGGGTCGAGCCTGGGTCTTCTGAACTGTAGGCAGATTCTTTACTGCTTGAGCCACCGGGGAAGACCAGCTAAATCTATGCTGCAATTATTTCACTGAATCTTAAAATATTCAAGTTGCTGAATACTTTAGCCTGACCTAATAATGCTAGGAGAAGGCAGGCAGAGGTTTAAGGAACTGTTTCATGTGGTTTACAGATGTCCCTGAGATACAGACGTTCTGAGGAGCGGAGAAAATGGGGGCAAGGAGCGCTCGGGCGGTGCCTCGGGGCTAGGCACTGTGGCCAGTCTCCCACCTGTGCTTGCTGGCTTCCAGAGCTTGCTCGTCTTCCTGCTTCTCCGTGCTTATGTCAAAGCACACATCGTTAATCAACCCCAGCACGCTCCTCACTGAGCCTGCAAGCACTCTAGGGTCCTTCCAGCAGCGACTGCTATTACCATCTCTGCCCTAATTCAAAAGGAGCATGTAAGGAAAGAGGGAGGCCTCAGGACTCACATGCAGTATGTTCGCCACTTGTTTTGAAACATGAAAATCATTCATTCATACTTGAAAATGGCCCTGTGTTTACTACACACACTGAAGCACAGTTTTCCATAAAAATGGATACTGTTTTCCTCCTCTAATCAAAAGTAAAAGAAATATAAAAATTCCCAGAGGGCAATTCAACCTGGAGTGCAAGTATCTTGGCCCAAACTGGCATTTTTGTTGTTGCTGATGATATAAGGTCAGTCTTAGATTCACCCAATAGGAGGATGGAATTTAAGACAATCCATGGGTGATGCTCAAGCATGCACCCAGTGCAAAGAGGAATAAAGCGGGATCAGGACATAAGACTCTGGACAAGGAGGTGATCCTCAACGACTCTGCCGGCTCTAAGTGTTCTCACTCTATGATTTGCAGAACAAGCCAGGGTGCTTCAGCGATTCCCATAAATGGGAAGCAGCATCCTTTTCTTATTCATATGAAGCCAGTGGCATGAGGAACAGGCCCAGGAACCTGTCCTTATTCTCCAGGTGATGGGTGAGGCTCAGATACATTTCCTGAAAGCCTGGGATCTAGCAGCTTGCACCAAGGTACTCTTGTGAGTAGTGAAATGTGCCGCTAAGGTTAATGGAACCAAGCATTGATGACGGAGAAACACGGATGTGCGTGTCAGCGCAGTATTGCTGACTCAGTCACAGACTCTGCGTATACTTGCATCTGCTGTGACTATGCCTGTGTGTCGGGGGGATGTCTGTCCCGTTAGCACAGTGGCCTCTGTTAGGAATGGCCGAAGGCCCCCTGGGTGAAGAAGTTGTCCTTGAAGTGGAGCTAGAAAGTCATGCTCTAGGATTTCCAAGAGAAGTAGCAAATGAAGAACCTGGGGACTCCAGGTGGAGACTGCCCACACAAGCCTGGACCCAGAGTACCTGCGGTGGAAGACTCCCCGCGCCCCCTGCTCCAGTAAGCCCGGCTTGCTGTCCGTGGTGGGGACGCCGCAGAGACCAGCGCCCACCCGCCCCGGGCCTTGACAGCACACGGCCAGGGTGGGCCTGGCGGCTCTCACAGAACCGCGTCAGCCCCTCAAGGCGGAGCCCCGAGGCCCCGCGTCCAGCCGGGCCCTGCGTCCCTGTCGGGCCGGCTCCCCCACCGGCCGCCCTGAGCTCCCTGTGGCCCACGTCCCCGTGAGCGCCTGTCCCCGCCATCACTGTGAGGAGGCTTCCCACTTGGCCATTTTCTTTTCTTCATCTCTGGCCGCGCCGGGGTCTTCACAGCCGCGCCGGGCTCTCTCTGATTTCAGGGCGGGGCCGCTCTCCAGCTGTGACCCGCGGGCTCCTCGCCGCGGCCGCGTCTCTCCTTTTGGACCTCGGGCCTGTGCCCTGGAGACCGTGCTCCACAGCTCTGGCGCACGGGCTTGGTTGCTCCACAGCTTGTGGGATCTTCCCGGCCAGGGGTTGAAGCCGTGTCTCCGGCACTGGCAGCGGACTCTTGCCCAGTGGACCCACAGGGAGGTCCTTGGCCGTTTTCCGTGGTGAACAGCACACGCCTCTGCGCCCTCAGCTTCCTTGTCTTGTGCCTCAGTTCAGTCCAGTCCAGTCGCTCAGTCGTGTCCGACTCTACAACCCCATGAACCGCAGTGCGTCAGGCCTCCCCGTCCATCACCAGCTCCCTGAACTTATGCAAACTCGTGTCCATCGCGTCGCCGATGCCATCCAGCCATCTCATCCTCTGTCGTCCCCTTCTCCTCCTCGGTCACACACAGGCTTTTCCTGCTGCAAACCTCTAATAATGAGCAGAAGGGCCATTTGCCCAGGTCTCACAGGACTCGGGCCTGGAGGGGCCCGGCCTTCCATCCTGGGGTCCACGTGGCACGGCTGCTCCTGCTCCTGTGGAAGCTTCTCCCCGCTGCCGCCTCCACCTCCCGCAGCTCTTCTCCAGCTTCCTGGCCGCTCCCCCAGACCCATGGCCTTCAGCCTCCGGCTCCCGGGGCTCCCTCTCCTGTCCACGCCGGCATCTTGAAAAGCGCTAACCACCCAGTTCCCCGGCCTCCCAGCTGGCCTTGGCCTCAGTAACCTCCGCTTCTCTCCACTTCTCCCTCCGTCTAGTCCTCGGTACTCCGTGAACTGCCCTCAAAGTCTAAAGCTTTCGAAGCCCACACCCTGAGCAGTCTCTGGACGGGGTCTTTCTGAGACCCGTCTCTCTAGAGCCGTGTACCTCCTCAGTCTCCAAGAGACCCCGAGTTGCTCATTGCTCCATTCCTGACGCACACCCTGGCCCTGCTCGCTTCCCCCTCCATCCTCGAATCGCAGCCCGTATGCCCTAAACCCGGCTGGACACACACTGCCACCCCCACAGGCGGGGCGCGAGCCCGCTGTCTGCCTGTTACGGGGCCTCCACTCTGCACTGACCTGGACTTCTATTTCCAGATGGATTCTGTAGACTTGGACTCTCATCTTTTCTCTATTTCCTGCTGTCACACCCCCGCGTCTGGATCAGTGCGACTGCCTGCCCTCTGCCAAAGCTGCGGAGACACAGACGGCCGCCCCACGCGGCCCCTCGCCAGCCGGGTGGGGCGTTGGCGTGACTCCTGTGTTCGTTGTCCTTCGGCTCCCTCGCGGGCTGTGCCAGGCGCTCACCGCTCTCTCGCATCACCCGTCCGCTCCTGCTCTTTCCCTCTAACCAACTCAGGGAGAAAGTAAGAGGCTCTTCACCATGAAATCCCCAAACGTGCCCGTCTCCCACGGTCGTCCCCTCAAACTCCTTTTCCAGGGCACACGGCTGCTCAGTAAGAGACCACCTCTCCCAGCCTCTCTGCAGGTCGGGGTCTGCCACGCGTCTGTTCTTCTCTCATTTGGCTGTACCCCTCAGCATGCAGGGGCTCAGTTCCCCTGACCAGGGGTCAAACCTGAGCCCCCCGCCCCAGCGGAAGCCGGGAGTCTTACGTGCTGTACAAGGAAGCCCCTCTAAGTTCTTTCTAACAGGAGACGAGAAAACGTCGCGTGGGCCAGTCGTTTCCTTAAAAAGCTCAGCCAGGACTGGCTCGTCCCTTTTCTTCCCAAGGTCTGAGGATGACCTTGGAGCTAGTGTTGGGGATGGCCACGCTGCCCTGCTAGCCCGGGTCTCTGCCTCCGCTCCCTGGACAGGCAGGTGATGGAAAGACACGGGTCTGTCTGAATCCTGCTGGATCCCCGGGTCCCTTTGTCACCGCAGCCTGGCCTTTGCCTGGATAACCTCCTCAGACACCGGTCTTCACTGGCACTTTGGCCGCCTGCCCCTCACCAGTCTCAGAGGCTGAGGTGAGCCTCTGTTTAAGGTGGGTTCCTCCACCCCGGGCGCTCCGCTTCCTTATCTGTGACTCGGCTCCAGCGAGTATGCACTCTCTCGCCCAGATCTCCACGTGTCCCCCTTTGCTGGCTGAGCCCCCCGCACCTGTAAACCGCTGTCCCCGCTCCCCCTTCAGGCCTCAAAGCAAGCCCTCTGTGACCGCTCACCCCTAGCCAGCCCCTCCTCTCTCCTCTCTCTGCCAAGCTTCTCGCAGAAGCGGTTCCTGCTTGCTGTCTCCTCTGCTCACCCCCATTTCCTCCACAGGCTCCCCCGTCAGCAGGAAGTGCTTTTAGAGGCATCCCCCCGCCTCCAGGACTCGGATCCCAAAGAGGCCTCTCCCCTCCGGCGCCTGCTCATCCTCCTGGCTCCGAGGAAGCCCAGGGAACACGCAGCCGCGGGGCGGCCAGCTTCTTCCCAGGTCCACTCCCTGAACACGGGCGTCTGCGCCCAAGGCCCCCGTCCCTGTCTTTCCCCGCCACATGCTTGAGTTGGACAGGTTCCTGGCCCCCGCGGCCTTGGCCACCAGACCACAGGGCGGATCGCACGTCCGCCCTCCTGGCCCTCCTGAATCTGACTCACGCCTCTGGCTGCTGGCTTGGCCTCTTGGGTATTCCACGGACACATCGCGCGCAGCCTGTCGGGGCCCGAGTCCCTTCCGCCCCTTTTGCCAAATGGCCTCCTCTTCCTCTCTCCCCCGGCCAATGGCGCGACCACTTCCCCACCCAACCGCCCGAGCTCAGAGCTGTCGTGGACCCCCCTCACCCTCCACAGCTCCTTGGGAGTGTGTGCGTGCTCACGCAGTCATGCCCAGCTCTTGCTGACCCTGTGGACCCGCCGGGCTCCTCCGTAAGACCCCAGCTCCTCAATGCCCGCCGCAGCCTCCCCGCTCTGGAGCCTGCCCCCTGCGCCCCCGCCCCCCGCGGCTCATCCCCGCCTTCAGACCCGCCCTCCTGTGTCCTTGGGATCACCCACTCCTCACCCAGACTGTGCTCTCTGCCTCCAGGAAGGCTCCTCCCGGCGGTGATCAGCCTCGGCACCCCTCTGCCTCCTTACTGCTCCTGGAACTCAGCACATGGCCGTGAGGAGCGCTGTCTTAATATCCCAAAACACGCACTGCATCGCTCTGCAGTGGACCGCTGTCTCTCCTCCTGATCACCTAGCGTCTGAACCTTCTTCCCACACTTGGGGCATTTTCCACTTCTTAGACACCTACCTTGCCCTATCGAAACAGAAAACACCAGATACCCTCTCTTCCAGCTTCCTTTCACTGAAACAAGGGCTCCTGACCTGTCTTCTCCAATCAGATATTATTCATCCTCGGCTTGACTCAGAAATGTGTGGCCCAAAGAGACAGAGCCCCTGGGGACCCCATGCTGACCAGCGTGCTTGCAGCAGTGGCAGATGCTTCCGAGGCCAGAGCTGGGGTCTTGTGTCCCTGGTAGCAGTGATGCAAACCGGGGTGTGCTTTTGAGCCTTGGTCCTCGTCTATGGCCCATCATGCAAGCCCTGAAATATCCTTCTATCCTCATTTTTAAAATTGATTTCTTTTGACGTATAGTTGCTTTACAATGTGTTAGTTTCTGCTGTACGGCAAAGTGGATCGGTTATCCGTATACATACTGACGCTTTCAAACATCAGTCTGGTACTGGAGAAGACTCTTGAGAGTCCCTTGGACTGCAGGGAGATCAAGCCAGTCAATCCTCAAGGAAATCAACCCTGAATACTCATTGGAAGGACTGATGCTGAAGCTACAATAATTTTGCCACCTGATGTGAAGAACTGACTCATTGGAAAGACCCTGATGCTGAGAAAGATTGAAGGAGGGAGGAGAAGGGGACGACAGAGGATGAGCTGGTTGGATGGCATCACTGACTCAATGGACATGAGCTTTTTCTGGGCAATAGTGAAGGACAGGGAAGCCTGGCGTGCTGCAGTCCATGGGGTCACAAGGAGTCGGACATAACTGAGCGACTGAACAACATCTCTGTTTTAGATTATTTTGCCATATAGGCCATTACAGAATACGGAGTAGAGTACCCTGCACTGTACATTAGGTCCTTATTAGTTATCTACTTTTTAAGACAGCTTTAAGTTTTATTGATTTATTTTAAGCATTTGTTTAACTGCATTGGGTCCCAGTTGCTTGTTGCAGAGTCAGTAGTTGCAGGGTGTGAGCTTAGTTACAGCGCAGCATGTGGGATCTTAGCTCCCAGACCAGGGATCCAACCTTCATCCCCTGCATGGAAGGCAGATTCTTCACCTCTGGGCCAGCAGGGAAGTCCCCTGTGATTTGTTTTTAATTGGAGGATAATTGCTTTACAATGTACAGCAATGTGAGTCGGCTGTAAGTAAACCTGTGCCCCCTCCCTTCTGAGCCTCCCACCCCCTCCTTCACCCCCCTCCCCCCCACCCCTCTAGGTCATCACCAGGTGTCGGGGTGAGCTCCTGTGTTAACAGGAGCTTCCCACTCACTGTCCGTTTTACATATGGTCTTTTAATAAACCCTTTTTCTGCTTGGTTCACCCAGAACTGGGTTCTGTTGCCACCAAGAGCCCTGACTGTCTCCGGCCGGCTGAGGCAGCGAGCCCACCCCTCCGGGGCAGGAGTCGTTGTTTGCCTTGTACCTGCACGCGCAGCACACAGTGGGCATTCAGTAGTTGCCACATTTGTGCACAGACTGCCAGTCATGTCTAGGCCCAAGGCAAGGAGACATCATGCCCTCTAACACTGTCGTCCTCCTGCTTCCAAGGAGGCAGCAGTCAGGGCAGATGGTGATGACCTGACTCTTGCATGCACAGACGCTTCCCTGCTCGATGAGATGTCTGTCTCCATTGCCTCCATCCCCCCGGCCCCTGCTTCCTCGGCGGGCTGCAGGCTCTCTGTTCCCATGACCCAGACTAATCAGAAACCAGGAGGTGAGCTCTGCCATGGTTACACCATCGTCCCTCCCTCTGTTCACCTGGGAGAGGAAGGATGAGATACCCTCCCTTGAGGGCCCTGGCTAATGTATCCCATCCAACATTTATGCTCTGCACGTACCTGAACTTCCCAAGCTGTGCCCTGTTTATGCATTCATGAGCAAGCGCTCAAGATAATGTCATTCCTTCAAATGGAGCTGAACCCGTGGCTCCTCTTTATGAGGGATTACAGGCTGGTTTTTTTTTTTATTTGTAAATGCGCCAGCCTAAAAAACACCGTGTTTTGTCAGAGACAGCTGATTAAACACCTCTGAGTATCTGTCAGTGCAAACCGCGAGATCATTAATTTATGCTGTAAAAAGAATGGCTGGGGAAGTGTGACTTGGACGGGTGTTGTTCCTTTCCTCGTTTGAAACAAATAACATTTGCATCTTTGGAAAGGACGTTGTGAAAAAATCACCCTAATGGATCAGTGTTTTCCAGAGTGACATCAGTTGTGTCACTTTGGTGCTCATCTATTTCAAGCCTCAAAGTGGATATTTTAGTCTTAAACAGCAGGTGTCCTGATATGGAAAAGCTTCTAAATTTGCTTGGGCTTGGAAAGCTTTTGATCTTTTTCTTGGCTCTCTTCCTTCCCTCCTGCCCCACCCCCCTTATTATTTCCTCATCATCTGCCGTAGTCTCACCATTACTGCATAGTTTTCAAATAATTTCTGCATCTTGTTAATATCTTGGCCTGAATTTGCAGATCAAGGGGCTGCTGCTCCTGGTGGAGTTTGTCTGGTGGGTTTGTTTTGAGTGTGGATTTAAAGAAGTGTCAACTAGTGATTTTTTTTTAAACAAAAATTTAGCAGGAGACAACGTTCCTTCCAGAGATATAAAGGCTGCATTTACTAAGTTGAACAAAGTGTTTATAAAGTGGAATGTTTGCACCACTTTAATTATAAAAATACCTCATGAATCCTCTTTTGGTATAGCATTTGTATGAAATCTGTTTTTCAAATCTGTTGCCATTTCCAAAGACACTTTCCTGTGGATTCTGCAGTATATCCTACTCTGCAGAGATAAATACAGAGACCAGTCAATTTACATCATTAAAACTATATAAGGAACAACTTGATTATTTCATTTGATCCTCACAATAACTCTTTCAAGACAGCAGGACCCTATTTTGCAGGTAATGAAGCAATCTCAGACTTCCCTGGAGGGAAAGGCTTAAGACAGTATAGAATTTATATATAGTTCAGCTGAGTACACAATCTCCTTGCATATGGTGCCAGGAGCTAAGGAAATAAAGATGGACTAAATGCAACTTCTGCCTTCAAGCTCAAAGTCAAGCAACTGTAGAGCCAGGGATTTAAACCAGGCCTTCTAATTGCAAATCCTCATCTCCCTTTACCATCTCAGCTCTAAGGTTTGGGCCAGCTTTAGGGAAAACCATCAGATATCAGAAATTTGCTTTCAGTAAGCAAACTTCTCTCTCTGGTACCCTCCTTTCTTCTCAAGCACTGAACACCCTCATGCTTCCCAAGGCTGCCTCTGACATTTGTCTTCCAAATTCCCAATATTCCCACTCCCTCCTTTCCTCTCCCCAACTCAGTATGCTTGGGTCTTACTCTGGCTCACAGCTGCTGAATCTTAAAGCATTTCTAGACTTTTTGACCATGACCTGCGGTGACAGGGCCACTAAATAAAGCTCACAGGGCTTCAGTGAGAGAACCTTTAGTAAGTGTCCTTTCTTCAGGGGAGTCGCAGCGCTGCCCAGGGTGGCACGGCTCGGCGAGCGGAAGACCCCTTCACCCCCTTAACCGGGCGGTCCTCGAGCACAACCCTTCACCCCCTTAATCAGGCGGTCCTCGAGCACAACCCGTGGCGCGGTGCGGGGCAGTCTGTAGTAAGAAACGTGTCTTGCACCTTCTTGGTGGTCAAAGCCAAAGGCGCACGCCCGCCGCTGTCCATGGTCCTGAACAAGTCCTCCATGCAAAGACACACGTCTTCTACCCCTGGGTCTCCAGTGGTTCTTGTTGAAGACTCTTACCACGTGTATGTTTCCCCTGTTTATTTCTCATCTTGATGAAAAGTGCCCTTTTATCCCATCACAACACAAATAGGACCCAAGACTCGTGTCGCAATTTATGAAGGAGAACGAATACAAGCAGCCTGGATTTGACGGCCAGGCCCACTTAGTGGGATCTTAGAAGGGCCACTTAGTCTCTCTGGACGTCAGTTTCTCCACCTTTAGAGTGAGGGTCAGAGTACTCAAATAACTTGCAGGATTGCTTTGAGGGCTAAATGAGATAACGAATGCAAAGTAGTTGGAGGATGTGTTTGTGGAAAGAACCCAGCAAATGCTTTCTAGGAATAGTAACAGTTCTGAACATAATAATTAATGTAGTTTTAGGAATTATATTTTTAAACAGACACTTCCTGGCCACCAGGAAATATGTACCGTTCTCCACCTGTAGCAGAGTCAGGACAAAACACGGGAAACAGAGTCATTGTTTCAACAGAGAACATTACATAGTGAATGTATTAAACAAATGTTGAAGGAAGGAAAAAGCTAAAAGAGAAGGTTCAGGTAACTCAGAGTAACAGCAGGAAGCAACTCCCAACCCTCAGTGTTGAAGAAACAAAGAGGACACGTTGTGCTTCAGAGTCTTGAAGGTTGGACAAGGACACCTCTCTGCCCAGTGATGTTGATACGTGATAATAAATTAATAACTGGCAATAGCTTGGTAAACTATCAGCCTAGTTGACCAAGAAAGAAAAGCCTTTCTTTAATATGTGGGTCAGTATATTATTACCTCTATGCTCTGCAATTGGTCTTGAGACAACATTTTACATGAGAAAACTGTTAAGAGAAATTATTCAGAGCTTGGATAAAGACAAAGAATGTTGCACATATTTTAATATCATATTGGGGCATTGTCCAACAGATGCTCCCAAGGATTACTAATTCCCTAGAAAAACATATCTTTGTTTCATGCACTATTAATCAAGGCCTAGACTGTGCAGAGTTCTATGTTAGCTTGAGGAAAGATTGATAAACTTCAAATAATTTTGTTCAGTAGAGATTTAAGTTATTACTGTCCTATAAAAAATAGCCCCCAAAATTAGAGATTTGCTGCCCTGTAGAACATTCAATAGTTTTATATTTAATGTAGCAGTTTTATTTCAGCGTTCATTTCCTGATGGACCAAGTGTTGTTGTTCAGTTGCTAAGTCATATCTGACTCTATGACCCCAAGGACTGCAGCATGCCAGGCTTCCCTGTCCTTCACTACCTCCAAGAGTTTGTTCAAACTCGTGTCCATTGAGCCGGTGATAACATCCAACCATCTCATCCTCTGTCATCCCCTGCTCCTCCCACCCTCAGTCATTCTCAGGATCAGGGTCTTTCCCAATGGGTCAGCTCTTTGCATCAGGTGGCCAAAGTATTGGAATTTCAGCTTCAGCATCAGTCCTTCCAATGAATATTCAGGGTCGATGTCCTTTAGGATTGACTGGTTTGATCTCCTTGCAGCCCAAGGGGCTTTCAAGAGTCTTCTCCAGCACCACAGTTCTAAAGCATCAATTCTTTGGTGCTCAGCCTTCTTTATGGTCCAACTGTCACATCTTTATATGACTACTGGAGAAACCATCACTTTGACCACATGGACCTTTGTCAGCAAACTGATGTCTTTGCTTTTCAATATGCTGTTTAGGTTTGTCACAGCTTTTCTTCAAAGGAGCAAGATAGCTGTTCCTATCTTGAATAAGTATCTGATTTTGAATACTCTGAGTCAGCTTTACCATCCTGTAGATTTCCTCCTTAATAAATATATTAATCAGTGTTCTCCTGAAAAACAGAACTCATGGAATATATATAGGTAGAGAGAAAGAATGAGATTTGTCATGAAGAATTGGTTCATGCGATTTTGGAGGTTGAGAAGTCCAACACTCGGTCATCTTCAGGCTTGAGACTCAAGAAAGCTGATGATGCAGTTTGAACACCTAAGAGCTGGAGAGTCAGTGGTGTGGATTCTAGTCCTAGTCTGAAGCCCTGAGAACCACGAGTGCCAAAGGCTAAAAAAGATCACTGTCCCATCTCAACCACTCAGGCAGAGAGAGAGAAAGGGAGAATTCTGTCTTCCTCCAACCTTTTTTCCATTCAAGCCCTCGGTGGATGCAGTGAAGACCACCCGCCCAATTTGGGAAGGACCATCTGCTTTATTCAGTCCACTGACTCAACTGCTAACCTGTTCTGGAAACACCCTCACAGACACACCCAGAAATAAGATTTAACCAGACATCTGGGTATCCTGAGATTCAGTCAAGTTGACACATCAAATTAACTATCACAATGAGTTAAATAAATCTCTTACCTGAGTTCACTATATACTTGTAAGAGAACCGTGTTTTTACCTATTATGCTTTGACAGGACCCGGAATGGGAAGGGTACTGCCTTCAGCCAAAGTGACACGGAGAGTCAAGGACTCAACTCCGGCTGCCTCCAAAGTCCATGTTGTGATCTCTTGGGCCATTACTCCAGAAAGATCTGTTTAATAGGAAACTGTACTGGGGGTTGCTGCCAAGCTCTTGCTAAAGTTTGGCAAAATCGGGCAGCAGCTGGAGTGATAAGCCCGTCTGAGACACTCGGGTGGATTTATGGATTGAGATAAGTCAGAAAAGGTCGCGCGTCCATGTAAAGCGGGGAAGGTAATGAAAATGGTAATAAGCGTCTGAGAAGGCTGGCCGTCGTGTTGACACAGGCATGAATGTTAAGACGAACCCTAGGCTCCAGCTGTTTGAGGCCGGGATGGACACCAGCCTTCCCCACCCCTCCCGTCCTCAGCCACCACCCGTGGGCCTCAGGCCCAGTTACGGAGGCAGGAAATGCAAGGTAGCTCCGCCAGGCTTTCTATAAATTCTTAAGGTATTTCCTGCAGAGTTAGGAGGAAAGGTGCTATTTGGAAATAAAAAGAAACAGCAGCAGCCTTGCAGGCAGCAAAAGCAAACTCATAAATTTCACTTAAATTTTTTAATACCCAGAATTTAGCATTCAGTCAACTTTACAAAAAAATATGAAGACCTCCTCAGTGTAAAAGCATTGTGGGAAGCATGACAAAATAAAAACGCTACTGAAAGGCGTCTTAGAGACCGCCCTCTCTGGGCGGTCAGTCTTCCTCTCTTGTGTGAGTCAAAAATTTCATTGCTTCTTCCGTGCACTAGGTTCTGTTCCAGTCCTGAAAACACAGCAGGAGACGGGAGGGCCTTGCTCTCATGAGCCTCATAAGCTAGTGAGAGAGACATAATAAATTAATAGAAGATGCAATCACTAATGTATGTAAATGCATACATTCTATATAATATATTGATTATATTAATATGTAACACGGGCTTCACCTATTCCCTGGTGGTTTCAGTGGCAAAGAATCTGCCTGCAAATGCAGGATACACAGGTTTGATCTCTGGGCCGGGAAGACCCCCTGGAGGAGGAAATGATAACTCACTCCAGTATCCTTGCCTGGGAAATCCCATGGACAGAAGAGCTTGGTGGGGTACAGTCCATGGGGTTGCAGAAAAGCTGGACACGACTTAGTGACTAAACATTAATATTATATAACATGCAACACTCAATGATATTAATGTAGTATTTCATATCATATGTGTGTTAGTTAGTTGCTTAGTCGTCTCTGACTCTTTGCAACCCCATAGACTGTAGCTCACCAGGCCCCTCCATCCATGGGACTCTCCAGGCAAGAACACTGGAGTGGGTTGCCCTTTCCTTCTCCAAAAGGATCTATAGAAAGAAAGAAAGTGAAGTGGCTCAGTCGTGTCCGACTCTTTGCGACCCCATGGATTGTAGCGCGCTAGGCTCCTCCATTCATGGAATTTTCCAGGCAAGAGTACTGGAGTGGGTTGCCATTTCCTTCTCCTCATATCATAGAGTATTATATTAATGTAATCTCAAGATTGATTAGTGCTTTGGGAAAAAAGAGAACGAAATAAGAGGATAAAGTGCTGGATTTGAGGTGTATGGTCAGGCTTCTCAAGATGGCTGTTCTCTTGCTCTCTGTACCTCTCCTCTGGACCAGAGCCTGGATCACCTCTACCCCGTGTGCATACCTGCCCTTCCCACGTACTGGCCCTAAGCCCCAGTTAGCAGTAACTTATTAAAGGGGTGGTGAGGGAGCCCACCTGAGCTGTTTCCCCTGGACCTGGGAATCTCCCCTTCCACTGGGGGCCAAGACCGCCCCCTGCCCGCCTCTGACGCACACGGTGGGGGTGTCGCCTCTGGACGTGGAAGCCCCCTCATCCAGTAAACCACTGATGTCTGTGCTGCTGATTCTGGGCTCTTTCTTCGGTCTTGAAGCTGGACAAGCACAGGCCTCGCAGGCCTGTGAGGTGCAGCCCAACCGCTGTTCTAGAGAACGACCGCCCTGAGAACTGAAGGGGAGAGGCAAACGATTTGAAATCCTTAAGAGAAGAACCTCCCTAGCAAAGGGAATCATAATTTTAAAGGCTCTGAGTAAGACGTGAATTCAGCAGTTGAATAAGAGCAAGAGACCCATGGGAGTGGAAGTACCGGTGGTATCAGCGAGGGCAGGACGGGCGGGGCCGTGGACCATGCTGGTTTGTTGGCCAGGGGGATGAACTCTGAACTTATTCCAGCCCTTTCATCCCAGCCCATGTGTCCTGCCGTGTAGCAAATGAGGACGCTGTGGCCCCTCGTTTATGAAGCAAATACTACACAGCAAATGTGACTGTGATTCTGCCCTGGTCAGTGTGGAAGATCTATAAAGATGAGAAAGACGCTTGCTTTGTGGGACTCCCCCGTGGGTCAACAGAAGGAAAATGTCACTGAGAGTCAGCTCCTGAGCCTCCAATAACAGAACCCTCGTTTCCTGATTGCTCAGTCAGAAATCTCATTTTCTATCAGCCACCAAGCCTCTTGATTATACTAGGTTGGGCAAAAAGTTCATATGGGCTTTTCTGTAAGAAGTTATGAGAAAACCCCAAACAAACTTTTTGGCCAACGCAATACATTTTGACAAGCCTCG